CCCATCCTTTAAAAAACAAACCCATGTCAGGCAAATTGCTTCATTTTTAATTTTTTTTGCCGAGCTTAAAATGTTTTTTTCCTCTCTATCCCAGCCGCGTCGAGATTCCGCCTGGGTTGAACGCTGAGTATGAACGTTCTGCTTTTCCTGGAAGTGGATGATTAAACTCAGGACAACCCGGGCTAAATCTCCAGGCTTGTCTCGATTTTACATATCTTTATACGGATTCCGAGGCTTGCAAAACCAGAGCTTCGCAGCCAAACCGCTTTTCGCTTTGCTCCCGGGTCGGGCTCACACCTCGCTATTGCTTTCCACTGGGCGGTCTATCCATTCTATTGTGTGGGTCCGGCATCCTTAGCACCTGAGAAATGAGGGCTCCTCAGTTAGATCTGCAAAGAGCTTCGGTTACTTACGGGGCGTAAAGAAACCCGGGGTCACAGCGCTGCCTTTCAAGTCGGCCCACGCGTGTGCGTGTGTTTATGTCAACATATGCAAGTGTTCGGATACATACAGACGCGAGCGCATTGTTCTGTGGCAGTGAGGCATTGCCTACTTGGGATTTGCTGTTTCAGGGACAGCTTCTTGTACATTCACTGTAACCCGCTTCCTTTGCTGGCCAGCCCCTCCGCTTTGGGCTGGCGGAGTTTTGGGGGAACTCCGAGACCAAACCTGACTTAGCAGCTCCGCGAAAACTCCCCAAACAATCACCGCAGAAGCCACAAACTCCAGCCCTAATGGGAAATTCTATAACAATAAAAACTTCATCTGTGAGCATAAATATTTTCCGCTGGCTTTGGAGCCTAACACAGTTGTTCTGTTGCGTGCCAGGCTGCAAGCAAATGACCGGGAGAGCCAGCAGGATGAGTCTAGTTGGGGAAAGAGGCAGCAGGGTTTGGGGAAAGTGTTTAAATATGGAAATTGTCTAAAGTGTCTCAACTTGGAGGAGAGTGGGGGGGGGGAGAGGTGCGACCCCAGCTGTGTGTCCTTTAACACACGCATGTGCATGGCAGGACGTTGTGCTGTGCACACACTCTCTGCTCTTCCACATGCCTGTGTAAGCATGCACATGTGTGTCTAGAAATAACTAGGTAGCCCGCGTACCTCGGTAGGTCTCGAATGCTACATTCCATTCTGAACTTATTTTTTTTTGGGGGGGGGGAGGGAGAATGCTGCTATAGGGGAAGGTCACAGTGGTCCTTTGAGTATGAAACTGAGAGACCCCCTTCCCCCTTTCCAGATCACGTGATTCATTAAATAATTAATGCAGAGGTTGCAGAATAGATATGTATTCGTCAGGAGCATCGCAGACATGGTCTCCTTGTGTCTGACGTGAAATTCAACTGTCCTTTAAAAAACAAGCCTATAGCAGAGGGGGGGAAAAGAGAGAGAGAAAGAGAGAGAGAGAGAGTGAGAGAGAGAGAGAGAGAGAGAGAGGACTGCAATAAAACAATTCTCAGGAAGACAGAAGCCACGCCGTGGGTTGGATTGTTGTGAGTAACAGGGGCTTCCCAATTCCTAGGGTGTCTATATGTCCATGTAAATTTATTGTTTGTTATTAATGTTATTGTCGTAAAATGTGACAAATAGCCGTCTTCATTTCCTCCCATTTCTCTTCACACGGCGGTATGTGTGTTTATACCCATCGAGGCATTCCATTGATATTTTTAGGAATATTCCTTCCCTCTCTCCTCCTCTCCCCCTCTCTTCTCACCACCTTTCTCCCTCTTTTCTAAAACCCCCTTTCTTGATTTATTACAATAAGCATGTCAGCGGCAGGGCGGCTGTGTGTGTGTGTGTGTGTGTGTGTGTGTTTGTGAGAGAGTTGTGTTGTTTATGGCGGTGTCCAAGATAAATCATTTCTCAAGTGAAAATGATGTGCAAGCGATGATATTTTAGAGCGAGGGTTTCTCTCTGCTCCACTCCCTGGAGTTGATTATTTCAGACGATTTACAGTAATAGATCAGCAGCTAATATGAAAGCTCTATAGCTGGGGGTCTTAAATTACAGCATCTGTGATTACCAATTAAGGAGAGATTTGTATAAATTTGGTAAACCGGGAACGCCTCATTGGCATATAAACCTAGTAAAAGACCAAGACCTTAATATCAACATCACAGCATCACTTTCCGAGCGATTCCTCATTTTTCACCCTCAAGTCCCCTCTTTATTGCACTATCAACACAGTTTGGGGAGGTGTCTTGATGTTTGTTGGAGGCTTTTTCCTTTATTTTGTTTTGGGTTTGGTTTTTCTTAAAAGCTGGATGTGTCCCATTATACGCCGGATGATCAGAAAAGCGAATAAATAATAACTACATTGGAAAAACGAAATCAAATTGCTGAGGAGAGTGGATCCGGAGCAGAGAGTTATGTTACTTTGTCCGTGCAGGGTAGAACAATAGGTGAGCTTCCTTTCCTCCCAAGCAAATCCTGCGGGTTCTAAGGAAATGGTTCCCAAATCTGAGTATGAAACCCATGTATAATGACCAAAGACTGTTCACACAAGGAAGTGAACTCACCCCCAAATCAATCCTTTTATGCAAAGAGCAAATAATTTGCACGGCTTCATTCCTGCAAGATCTTGCTATGTAGGTAGGCAGGCAAAGAATGTTCTTATGATAAAAGTTCCAGAAGTTTAGGTAACAAAGGACCTTTTGGCTAGGAACTTCTGCGTTTAGACTGGTAGTAAATTAGGAGTAACCCTATTGAAGTCAATGGCACTAAACTGTGTACAGAACTTGGCCCTACATTCCCAAGAAAGAAAGCATAGCTTGCCAACAGATGTTAGCTTTTCACTGGCACTTGGTATGCATAATATATATGAACTATAATCATTAAATCCCTTTAAGAGCGCAGTACAGTTAAGACTTTGGGGGAGCAAGGTATTCTCCCCCAGAGCAGAATTGAAGGTGAAAGACGTCCTTAAAAAAAGCAAGCGTGAAAATGTGCATCCTTGGTAGAAAATGGAAGGTCAGGAATCAGCCACTTCTCATTTCCATTTTCAAACTTGACCAGCTAGGTTAAAACCGCGCGTGTTGGAAAGGCAGGCGGAAGTGGGAAATGGCATTTTAAATATGTAACAAGCTTGAACCCCGCAAGGAATCAGTAAAACCGGCAACCGGGCTGGAGATGAAACGTTCACACCGGATTCTCAAAAAGTGAATCCAGCCACATTTTCTGCACTTCCTTTAGCCCTCGCCAGCCACGTTTAACACCGTCGGGAGTGGTGATATTTAACTCTGTCTGCTAGGGTAAACCTTTATGTAGCAGAATTAGAGCAACTCGCCGGCTTTCATTAAATATTAAGGGAGATCCAGGGATGGCGAGCAAGCCAGCAATGTAGCATCACTCTCTGTCAAGCATATATTAATTTAAATCGTTGGCTTCAAATTGATTTTGACCACTTGTTTTCTAGGTTTGAGATTCTGAGCATGAAAGATTAGCCCGCTGAGAAAGGCTCCTGTAGTTACCAAGTTGGAAGGAGCGGAATTATTAATTTCGCTCTCATTATCATTATTATTACGACTCCTTTGCTGTCATTAATTCGCCATACAGTGCGCCAGGCAGAGGTGTATTAGGCGCATTAACAGGGGAATAAATCAATAACGGAGGAGGGGAGGGTGTTACTCGGTTCTGGGAGAACTTAGGTGGCTGTAGGATTTTGAATCGGACCTGGTGGCAAAGACTGAAGCCCATTTTCCTATTCACCTGCCATCATAGGCTCTCCGGATCCCTTGCTGATAGATATCTGTATCTATAGCTCTCTATAGCCTTTTGATTGAAGGTGTGTGTGGTTGGGGGGGGGGGTTCCCATTTCAGACCACACGACGTTTGTGCTTTGCCTGCTATCTAGTGTCTATGGAAAAGGGAGGTAGCTGAGAATTATGATATATCTGATGCAAAAAAAAAAATTTTTTTTTGCTTCAGATAAGCCTGCTTAGATCTGCAGATCTTACTCGCCTCTCCGCTTAAAGTCAACATCATGGGGTTCCCTCCCCTTCAAGAAGCTGTTTAAGTAACCAGGGAGCACGTTTCATCTGGCTCCTTCCTTCTGACTTTCTCCCTTCTCCCAGAAATCTGCACCCCTTGATATTGACCCAGGCCGGATTCATTCTACCTGGAACCATCTCCTAGGAACCGGCTCTGGGGTTTTCTCTCTCGTTCCTTCTGATAGCTACCGGTGACGTAACACAATGGAAAAGGGCTTGCATTTGGCTAGCCAAAGGAGGTTTCATTGTTCCCTTCGGCCAGTCAAACAATAACAGCGAACCCCCCTCTTACTCACTCATGTCCCTTCTAACTCCCTGCCCTACCTACCTCATTCACTCACCCACCCATATTCCCATTTGGGCTCATTATTGGTTTGTTTATCGATCAGGCACTATAATAATAACTTTGCTGATGACTTCTCTCCTACAGAGTAAAACAATGGGCAGATCGTTCATTTTTGTTGTTGCTATATTGCTTTTATTAACTCGGTTAAACTGAGTACACCAGAAAGCAGAGGTAGAATATTCTTCCTTGTGTTGTAGTTACAAGGGATATGAATAATATTCAAAAATACTCGAGGAGATATTGTTCTTGTCATTAAGACAGGTCGGCTTCGTTCATTTCTTTGCGAGACGCTGTTCTTGCCTGCCCCGTTTCAGAAAAGTTTGATCTACCAACATTAAGAATTAATATGGACCTGATCAAGAAGGCCCTTTTCTGCCATCACACCCACCCTCCCTTGTAGATACACTCACCATTCCTTTCAGAAGAGGAAGCTGTTAAAGTGGAAAATATAAATCCAGCGGCACCTTAGTTCATAATGTATTGACGGCTGCAAGAAAGTGTTATGTAAGATCAAAGAACTATGGAAAGATAGACCACTTTGGAAGTGCTATATAAGGAGACCATTAGCTAATACAGAATGGGTTACTATACCTCCAGTCAATACATAAGCCTGTCCATTCAATAGATGGGAATCTCAATATATGAACAATGCATTTCCAATATACAGTAGTACCACTCTTATTCCTTAAACGCTGTCCAATCTAGCTACCCAATTTCTGTTTTACAATAAGTAAGATTCAAGAAATATTCGTGGGCAATACGTTTATTCCGACCGATCGTTTAAAAAACAAAGGGGCTTTTCAAAGGGATTTGATATTACAGCCCAGGAATTGTAAATACAAGATGACCATTGCTTGTTCAAATAATTGGTAGCTATTAGGGGGTAGCCTAGCCAAATCGAATGACTTCTTTTAAGAAAGAAAGAAAGAAAGAAAGAAAGAAAGAAAGAAAGAAAGAAAGAAAGAAAGAAAGAAAGAAAGAAAGAAAGAAAGAAAGAAACAGAAAAAAATTAACTTCTGAAATAAGTATATACTATACAGGCCTTAAAAACTACGGGTGATCACATCTCACTCCTGCTAATACATTTCTGTTCAAAAAGGGCTGTGAACGAGATTTATTTGGCACAAAGACAAAAGGGAAAGA